CCTGAGAGATAAGCCAGGATGGCCGAAGGAATGCGTGTGGAGGGGGGTGACCTTGGGCTTCCCCCCCCCTCCTTGCTGCAGCTTCAGAGAAGCTGGCAGCCATCTTTGAGTCAGAGCATGGGAGCTCTGTGAAGGGGCTTGGATTCCCCTGAGGATACCAGACCATCACGAAGACCCCGGTGCTTCGTGATATGACCATGGTGTAGCGGCCATGTCTGGGGTTACGCAGCCCATGGAAAGACCCCTTGTTTGGAGACGGGGGCCGAGAGAGGCTTGGAGACCTCCCTCGTGTGTGCTAGCAGAGAGCCAGCAACTATTTCTGCTGCATGGAAGAGAAGACAGAGAGCCTGCTGCCTAGAGAGACCTGTTGCTGAGAGACTGGAAGGGGTCTTTTCTTCTTCCTCTCTCCTGGACTTTTATTTGGAGGGAGAAGAGATTTGGCCCATTGTAAACATTATTGTCATGGTAGAGATAGAAATAGAGTTAAGATTGTATGCAGTGTATTATAGTATTTATTTGTGTGTATAGTCATTGTAATATATTCCTTTCCCCCCATATTGAGTCTCGTGTTTTTGTCTGGAAAACCCATCTCACATGGGGTTGAGATGTGGGAGGGGAGGGGGCTAGGAATCAGAATTGGATTTTGGGCCTTTTCAAACCATGACACCAGGTTTCTTAAAGACCATCAAAATGCATAGGGCAAAACAGAGTCCTACCTGTTGCTGCCTAAAATTTTGATGGGAATAAAGAACATTAATGTTGTTTTATTAAGCAAATAATCTCTGTATACTGAATGTCTGACTGTTTTTTCCTATTTGAAACTGATTGTTTCTTGAGTTACTAAAAAATCAAAACATAACTAAGAGTCCCCCAAATCCTATTTAAAGTAAAATATTTTAATAGAAACAGAACAGTCAAAATAAGCTTGCTGCTATGAGTATTGGTGCCACATGCATCTAAGAAACTGAAAGTTCGATTACAAATATTTCCTGAGTTAAGTCTGTTGCAGAAAGGAGTAAGCCAGTCTTGGGCATCATTTTGCACTTGCTCACTTGTTACACGTGTTCTGGATTTCCAATCCCTTTTCCAGTTTTCCAGGGTACTTCAGTGTAGATGGGTCTCTAGACTGTTACTGTGTTGGAGGAAGAGTGTATTTAGTTGTTGCATTTTATTTACAGGGCGTAAAGAATGCTTGTAAGGACTTTGTCTTACAGTCAGGCAAAATGGAGGCATATTCTAATTTCATATGTCACTTATAATTAGGCTACTATAATTTTTTTATTCAAATTACTTTTCTATGCCTATTTAATTTTAAGATTTTAATGTAATAGATTCATTAGGAAGTTCAGAGGCATGACTTTGAACAGACCAAGTCTTTTCTTTCTGCGTGCACAGTGGATTAGTGTTGAAATACATCTGTATTTTTAGGTTGTGAATTGTATGAAGTAGTTTGTGTTAATATAAAAGGTAAATCACACTTATGTGATGTAGAAACTTGTTTAGTGTGTAAATGGCACTGAGTCTCTTTATGGAGTTCTTTGAGTACTTCATGAAGCTGTGTTCTTCAGATGGACAGTGACAAATCTATTACTGCAATCTACAGTTAATTGTGTTTAAGCACTTTAGTTGGCAGATGTATTCCATGAAAAAAAGAACAGGAATTTCCTTTGAAGACTAGCCTAGAAACTTAAATATGTAACTCCTTTAAAAAACGGGGAGATGGGGTGGTGTTGTGTTATGCTAATGTCCTTGTTTACTGTTCTCAATTCAATGTACTAGAATACCCTTGTCTTTATCTCAAATATGAAATGAAATAAGGTATTTCTCTTACACAGTAATTCCATTGAGAACTTTAAAAAGTACCATCTTGGCTGTAGTGCCATGCTGTCTTTAGGCATTCTTAGAAAGAATTTTATCTGTAGAATTGGGAGGGGGTTGATTTTTTTTTTTTGGTCAGCCTTAACGAAGTATAGCACTTGTTGCTGTCAAGTGCCTTGTATGTGTAGGTCTTGGGGTATATTCTAATATTTCACATCAACTAGGTATCATAACTAAAATGTGTTGGTCACGAGTCAGTGGAATCTGGCATAAGTACTCTGTGGATATTAGCATTTTTCAAATACATATTAGCCTGATCAGACATGATTAGCCATGGATATGGACATACAATTTTCACATGAGCCTATACAATTTGGTAACTGGGAGAATAAATAAAAAAAAATAAAATCTTGTTTTCATTGTCCTTCCCCCAGCCAAGACTTACATGCATGGCATACAGCTGGAATGACAAAGTCTCACCAATACTTCCAAATCTCTTTGAAGTTTAAAATAATCTAAAGGAATAGGTCACATTTTGGGACAAATAAGCATTTTGTTTTCTGTGCTGTCTGCTCTTCTTAAACCACAAGGTTCTCTTTTCCTAACTCTGTTTTTAATTTTATGAATTTAATAGTAGTCCAGTGTTAGCTCTTCTCCTATTCAGATTCCTGTGATGCCCCTTTTAAAGTAGTGCAGAAAATAATATTTCTAAAGTAAATTTGTTACATAGTGTTTAAATTTTGATGATACCTTTTACTTAATTTATAAAAATTTCAGTATTGTTAAATTCCTCTTCTGTGTTAAGTAAAATGCGATGTCGAACTGACAAAGTTGTGCTGTGCAAAGTGATCTGTGAAATGCATTAGCAGCACTCAGAATCTGTTTAAATAATAGGTTTGTGAGAAGAGTGGTGTAACCCCACATAAGTGTTTTCAGTTGCTGCGTGTCTTGAATTTACTGATATTCTGTCAAAATTTAGGATCTCTGTTTTTCTAATTATTGGAAATGTGCCAGAATTTCTGGCATGTCTGTGTGTCAATGGAGTAAAAGGTTACTTTTTCTGGGGAAAAACGAATCTGAAGAGCTTCTATGTGCTCTGTTTCTGTAATCTGCTGTAGTGAATTCAAGACCTCTTATTAAGCATGAACTCAATAGCTACTGCTTATTTCGGTATCTAAATTGTATCTATTTAAATAATTTTCTGTGGATGTATGCAGAGCGTGGAATTCTTGATCTTGTCTTTAAACTGCCTCAACCCTGAGGTGCCCTGGGACTTCTAGGGTTGAGAAAGGTTTGAGTACAGCTTGTGGAATTTTCTACTTCTGTAAAGCATTGCTGAGGTTTTGTCAAGATGTAGAGCAGAAGGGATGTTCTTATGTTTTACGTATAAAAGCACATATACCGCCCAGCACCTCGTGATTTACATTTGCTGGGACCAAAGCCACTTAATTCCTCATGCAAATTGGAGTGAAAGCAACAGACCTCAATCTCCCAAGTTCGATTATGATTTTGATGGTCTTTGATGCATATTTTGCTTGTTGAAGGCATTAAATTTTGAAGTAGCAGTTTGGCCTTTGTTGGGTTTTATCTTGTCTAGCTTGCAGAGATGGAGGTCTGGGCAGTCATTGTTAGCAGAACTTGCATACAGTTTACAGCATTTGATGCAATTCGGTTTGTATTAGTATTAGTGCTAGTAACCAATCTACAGTTGATGCCATATATCCTAATAATATGTTTTGAAGCAATTTTTTGTATCAAAATGGGATAACAGTGTAGGGGGGAAAATCCCTTATAGCTAGGCTTTTGTTTCTTTGTCTCTTCACTTTCCCCTACCCTCAGGTGGCTTGATTCACATGTTCTCTTTGGAGGGATTAAAAAGTAATTTCTAATGGGAACATTGAAGCCATTTAGAATTCTAATTACAGATTTCTAATTAGTTTCACAGTTTTGACCATTTCTTTAGTGAACTGTCGGTGTTTGAGGCATTGCTTTTCTCAGTATGAAGAAATAATCATGAAAATACTTCCTGCTGCCAAGATAAAGCAATAAATACTTGATTAGAAGGAATGTTTGGGGAGGCAAATTCTGTCTCTTGCTCTTCTGGATATCCTGGTGGTAGAGGGAAAGTAGTGTAGTTTGTAAGTGAAATGGGAGGAAGTTTGGTTGAGGAGTGTGATGACACTGAAGAATGAGAATAAACCTCAGTCAGTTTACTTCAGGTTTGAGTGCTTAATAGCAGATCTTGGTAATTTCTGATTTCTTCAATCGCTTGTGAAGTTTTAATTTGTCCTTATAAATAATAATTTTAAAGCTTTATGTAGTTCAGAAGAAAACTGCTGATCCCTCTAGAGCTGCTGGGTTGGAGCTTTAGGTGCATGTGCCATCTCTGCTGTGACTTCAGAGTAGGAAATGCAGGAGATTCGGTCCTTCGTATAGATACTTTTTTTTTTTCAACTGTTTCATTCTTTATGTAGTAAGTAAGCCTCCACAGAACATATACTTGCTGTTTATGTGAGGTCAAATTCTTTCAACTTCGATGATGCATATCACTAAGATGTACTCTATCCACGTTATCTCTTTCACAGAGCTGTTAAAAGGTGTGTCCTCCCCATTCATGATACTCTGTTGCACCTGTGCTTGTGACCTGTCCCTTATTTGATACAAATTCAGTTTTTTTCTGAGATCAAATAGTTCAAATGGTTTCCTTCTTGCTTTTGTCATACAATTATAAGCTGCTTTCATTTTTCGCACTTGCCACTAGTACAGTGATGCTAGGTTTGTAAAGCAGTCAACTCTTCTGGTGCTTGTGTGTTTAATTTTGTTGCTTTAACCATTTGCAACAATTTGCAGATTTTAGTTACTGCAGCGTTGCAAGGGGTGATTTGCATAAAAACTTAGTGATACATTTAATTTTTTAAAATAAAAGCACTAGTAGTGGTCTTAAAACATTGCAAAAACTTTGCATTTGTTGAACAAAAGCAAATTTTGAAGTTGGAAGCATCAGTTGCTATACAGCAGTAATGATACTCATAAATAGCAAACAGATTGTAAATGATCTCTAACTTTAAATGTCATGTGTTCCTACTCTACAAAGGTATAATGAAATGGAGAGCACTCATTAAATTTTTTATTATCAAGTTGCAATCTGAAGTAACTGTGTAAACTGTTTCTGTATTTTCCAGACTACATTTTATAAGAAGATGAAGAACAGAAAGCAATGTATTCAAGATACTGAGGATAAGAGGCATGAAGGCATGGAAGGTAAAGTCTGTGTGTGCGAACATATTGAAGTATATTGTTCAGGTTCAAGCTGTGAAGGTCAAATTTTACATTTGCACTCTCAGTTAGTATGCTGCTTGTTTTGAAAGAAGTTCTATAAACATAACCACTGTCTCATAATATTTTTCATTGTCCTGTGGGGTCCCCATATTATTTCCTGTCTCTTCTCTTTTTTTTACTTGCTGAATTCTAGTAGCAAAACAAAAATGGTGATAACAATTGTTATTCAGAGAAAATAATTTAGAGTAAAATCCCTTGAAGAAGAGTTCATGCATTTTTGTATTCTGAAAACACTTTCTAACTTTAACAAAATCAGTCGCATTTTTTATTTAATGTACATTTTTTATTTAATGTACATGATTAGGTAAATATTTGAGGATATTCAAATTAAAATAATTCTATGACAGGAAAACTAAAATTAAGGTAAACCATGTGTATATAAGATAATGCATATAGAATATGCTGGTCTAATTTATTTCATGGAGAGAGTGCAAACACAGAAGGAGGAATAACTCAGGAAAACTATGTCTGAATGACTACATGGTCAGTAGGAAACACTGTGGTGCTTTCTTTATTGAAATAGCACTAGAGCTAACTTTCCTTCCTTTTAATGGCAAATACTAGCACAGTAGTCTATGAAATACATTGTATAGCTTTTTTCACCTGAAATGTTCAGGTGAAATTTTTCACCTGAAAAATTCAGCTGCTCCTCTGGCCAGCTTCTTCACTGCATTAGACCTGAAAACTTGCCTTGCTTGTAACTGCAGAAAAATTGTATCTCTTTACTGCCTTATTACTCAAATCTAGAAGGACTTTTTTCAAAAACTGTCAAAAATTCTAAGTGTTAGCATTAATAATACCAGGTGAAGAAAACGAAGAAAGCTGTTCCTGTTCTGCTTTGTTGTGTGATGGCAGCACGTGCCCCATCTGTCTGAACTGCCTTCTAGAGCAAGAGATTGGTTTTCCTGAGAACTGCAGTCATACCTTCTGCATGGCTTGTATTCTTAAGTGGGCTGAGGTAAGACTGAGCACCAAGGTGTGTCTTTATTTTTCAGTGAAATCTATTGCATTTAATACCTACAGATATTTTTTAAGAAAGTTGCGGATTCTGACTTTCCACAGAAGTGTTTCAATGACCAGTTTATAAACAGATTGTAGAAAACTTTCTCCTTAGTGCAATAAAGTGTTTTCTTTCACTGGAAAATCTGACTTAGTAATGGTTGCTAGAGATGAGGGATCAGTAAACAAATTGGTATTGGCTGTTTGGAAGATTAGACAGTATTATGTACATGCTGTAATATTGCAGTGTTATTCGCTTAATCGTACTTTGTGTTATCCCTTATGCTGTTTGTCATAGTGTCAACTCTTAGGGCTGAGACCAATATGCGCTCATGTTAGTCTACAGAATGAGTCTGATAAAACCTTAGTTTTCATCTCAAAGGCTTAGTGCTATTCTGAATAAAAAAATTCATTTTAATTATATCTGTTGTTTGTTCTATGTCAATAACTTTGTTGATAGTTCTGGAACTTTAAAGAAAAATTACTTGAACAAATCCTTTATGATCTTGTTCTGTTTAGTCCCTTTTCCCTCACATACTTTATGCAATCATTGCATTAAGTCTGGTGTGTTTACTGTCCTGTAACTTTTTCAATTGTCAGTATAAAACACCAAATTAGTATTACTTTTTACTGCAGGAGGTTGCTGCTTTTTGTCCTGCTTCCACTCACTTGAATTTGTTGCTCATTTTAGTAGAGACCACTGCTTGGTTTCTTTGCAGTATCTTTCTTTTGAAGTAAATTATGATTTTGGTTGCAGTATATCCTTTAGAAAGTTGGTATCACTTGTATGTACGTATATATGCAATATGCTTATTTATTGTGTGGGGTTTTTTTTACTTGCTATATTTTTAACCTTAATTCTTGTGTTATTTGTTCCTGAAGGCAGACAGTAACATAAATAACTTTCTGAGGAATTTATATGAACTTCAGAGTAGTAAAAAAAAGGTTATTATATGAAACTTGCTTTAGATTCACAAACCAGATGATAAACAAAGTTTCCTGTCGCCATATTTTGCAATTGATTCACTGCAGTCATTTTATTTATGAGGGAACAGGAACTTCTCATACACAATTTTACCCTGACTTCCTTAGCGTGTTGCTATAATGACAGCTGAAAGGCACTAAATAGTGACACGCACAGGGAAGCAGTACAGTGCATGGACAGCTTCCTGCTGGATTTGAGTTTGTTCACGTTGTCATTAAGCCCAATGCGGAAGAGAAGTTTCTTGTTCTGAAGAGGCAGATGAATGACATTTTTCTTGTCTTGTCAGTTTATTTTTTGTGCCAGAAGTGCTATCCAAGTAGAATAAAAGCAACTGCTCCTAGGAGTTGACAGGTAAAGTAGATGTGATGCCATAAAAATGGTGTGGGGGCACTTCTAAATCTACATAAGGCTGCTGCTGCTTTTCATTAGTGATGTCTGATAAGTAAAACCTGCCAGGCTTCCTCTTCTGAGGTTACTTGACAGTGGGGCCTGTTGAGTTCATGGAACTCCATTGCCTAATCTGGTAGTTTTAATTAAAAGTAAAGGGGCAAAAGAAGTGTTGAAAACTGGATGACAGATGTTCAGAAGCTTCAGCTGTGAGAAGCAGATGAGGTTTTATAGATGGAAATGATAGAAACATAAGCATGTGGCTGTTAAAAGCATGCTCATGCCATGTGCTTTTTTCTGCTATTAATATTTAGTAACGAAATGTTTGTGTTCTTTTTTGAGAAGTGTTGCATAAAGTTTAGCTTCCTCTGGTGGTTCTTGATTGATCATAACTAAATAATTGACAAGTAGTCAAATTTAAGTCACTCTGAGTAATTAAGATATAAAAATTATCTGCTGTTTAAAAGTGTGCTACAAATTCTAAAGATTAAGTATTTTTATTGGGTATAAATAAATTGGTTTTAGAAACACTGTTTTCCTGTCTAAGTGCTGGAGAATAAGAAAATTGAGAATAAGATTATTGAATGAAATAAATAAAAAAGAGGCTAATGTTCACATCAATCAACATGTTCTTTTGTATATCTGCAGTTGTCCTCCATACACTTAAAGGCTGTGTTCAAGTTGGATGTTTCCTCTATTTTTCTGTGTTGGATCTGGACTTCAAAATATAACAGGAATATAACAGGAGAAACTACTTCTTTAAACTGTTGTTTTCAAATTGTACATAATCATCGTTCTTCTGAGGGTTTATGGCTTTTGTGTGTAACTGTTTAGACTCTAATCAAAACCAGAGTAGTTTAGACAGATGGTAAGAGTTTGTTTACCATTCTGCTCCCTCTTCAATCTACAGAAGATTTTCCACATTGCAACTGCAGTCAGGTGTCCAGTAGCAGCATATCTTCAGTCTGCAGGCAGCAACCGTAACACTTTGAAGATCTTACTTTTTAAGGTGAGAGAGTGTAGATACACGTGCACTTAAAAGCAATATATAAAAATGACCCTTATTCCATGACAGGCTAAAAAGGGATAAAAAATTTGCCACTTAACAGGTCTACTGTATTAGATCCTGATGGATTTAGTTTCAGAATTAAGTAGCAATACAGTTCAGGGCTGTATTTCTTTCCCTTTGAGAAAATGTGTCTAACTGCCTAAAGAAAAGTGAGGGGCAGACCAAGAATCCCCACTAAGAAACTTGTCTTCAGATTAACTTTTTAAAATGCCCCTTGAATTGTTCTGCTCTCTTTGGCTATGTTTACTCTAGTTAATTGTGCCACCTGAGAGTATTGCTGTGCACTAAACTCAGTTGCCTCTACTATTAATCTCTCCTATGCGATTAGACTGTCACATTGTGTGCCTTTCCAGTCCAATTTGGGGGAGTGGGAGGGGGTCCAGTGGGCCATGGGGACCCCAGATGGGTGGGAGGGCGGACAGGGCAGTCCTGCTTGGAGGGTGGGCAGTGCGAGAGAAGTCCTGTGGTAAAATATGTCCATGGGCAGGATGGGCTCACTAGTCTTCTGGCAGTCATCCTAGGAGAAGGACAACTCTTAATTCCAAACCCGGGCAGATGGAGCTCGCTTAGCCCTGTAAGGCCATCCATCTAAGAGAAGGATACTCTAATTAAACCTACGTCCTGAGGACCTCGCTGCCACCGTCCAAGCTCGCTAGGCCCTGGCAGATGAACGCTAGGATTAAAGGGTGGGTCCAGTTCTGCGCATGCTGCGTCTCACCTAAAAAATCCATTGCGCAGGCCTGAAGGTTATACCCACATTTGTAAAGCCCTGTAGCGACAGGCGAGGGACGAAACGGCAGGTGAAAGGTGCACTGGAAGCCACAGACCCGACCCTGCATGCAGGCGGTTCAGGATATTGGTTCCCTGAGTCTGACCCCGGAGATGACAGTCTCTTTCAGCAGCATCCTGAAGGACCAAGCAGCCTTTTTCAAGGAGAGCGCTGCTTGCTCCACATGGAGAGGGGCCTAGAAAAGGTGACCTAACCAAAGCTCATCTCCACCCTTCACCCTGTTGGTTAACCGCAGCCAACGGGCATATCTCGCATTGGCCTCTTTGAGGCTTTGTATTTTTGTATTTTGTATTTTAGTGTGGCTATGTTAGAAGATCATAAAAAGTAAAAGGCACTGAATCTGGAGCTGAGGTTATTGGGCACGCCCTTCAGTGGGAAAGTGGAAGGACAGTGTAAGTGAAGAGTTGCTTTCAGTATAAAGAACATGTACATGATAAAATTGTTCTGCCCACGTACCAGAGAGGAAGCTTTGGCTATTTCTGTGTGTAGAAAAAATGAGGAGGAGGAGGAAATCAACAACAAAAATCCCCTGTCTGGAGTCTTCAAAAACCATGGATACAGTTGTTTTACACCAAGGGAAATAATAACATTAATGTGTTTCTCTTGTCTGTAATATCACGAGTAGATTAAAACTAGTTGGGTTAAAACTAAATTTTTGAACTTTCTTGTTTTCTGATAAACTTGTATTTCAATGGGTAAGCACGTATGTTCTAGATTATAATAATTGGTTCTGAAAGGTTTCAGGTAACGCTAATGCAAAGGGAAGTTAATTAAGCGTCTATGGCAAAAATGCACAAAGTAGCTAAAACCAGCTCATCTAAGAAAATTGTTTTAGCCACAATAGTATCTTGCCTGTATGCATTAGATGAAAACTCTCTACTTTTGTTTTGTATTCTATTCAAAGAAAACAGTGTTAAAGTAGAGACAGTAAACTTCTACTTTTCTGTAGGCTTTTTAACTTCCATTCTGTTCTTCAGAGTGCTAATAAATGTGCTGGAGATTTCTATCCTTGCTTCTCTGTTAATTCTTCTTATGAACCATCATGACAGAAGAGTGTTAAAAGTACAAATTCAGTGTGTTGTCTGCATTATTACAATGTTTGTGTAAGAGACATTGATTTCAGTGATCCTCACCTACCAAGCTTATTTCTCTCATGCTCTGGTCCTGGTTTCACTCACTCATTTTTCCTCATCTGGAGGATTTGAAAGTGGAGTATGTACAGCCATGAATTCTCCAAAGTATTGGAGCATATTCAGGTAGGCCCTATAAAGTATAAGTGGTTGACTAAATAAAACTAAACAGTTGGCACAAAGAGCTGCCTTGCATTAAGTTTCTAGCAGCTGTTATTAGATGATCTGTTCTTAGACTTTGATGTTCTGTTGTTAGAGTAGTCATTGCCTTTGTGCAAGTACAAGGTCTGGATTATTGATGGAGTACACTACTGCACATGTGTATTTTTCTGAGGGTAAGGAAAGTTTACCTGTATGATAACTGGAATTCTTAAAGTGTATTCTTTCTGATCTGAATTCCTTCTGTCCTAAAGGATATAGGAAGGAAAGAGCTTATGTGGCAACAATCTCCGCAGTGATGTGCAGTGCAGATTAATGAACTAAACATTAATGAACTAAACATACATTGTGTTCAAAGAAACACAACCTAAAAAACCAACAATAGCAATGGAAAAAACCTTATTGTTCAAGTGTATCCAAGGTGATATATACACAGACAGTGCATCTGAGAAGTGATGTACAGAAAAACTGTATTAATCAAATTCTTTCAGTGCAATAGTCTGTATGAGTGTTTTTTAGTTTGACTTCAGTTCTTCCAGTAGTGCCAATGTGTCAATACAGTGACATGGAACTTGTCAACACTTTATGGCAGTTTTGAATTGGAACTTAAGAGCTAGCCAACTATGTGATGTAGGTAGAGAGAAGAGAGCTGTTTAGACTTATAACTACATAGTCTGCTGGCGAGGTGTTAAGACAGTAACCTATTCTTATACACTCTGTATCTTTACTATCCATGAATGATATTCTGCTCCCTCCCAGAAAAAAAAACTCTTGTCAGAAATAGGGCTTTCCTAAAGCATAACTACAAAACCTTTAAATGTACTTGCTTTTTAAAAGTAGACTGGAAAAAAGTTATCTCGAGGTTTTTGCATGCTTCTTGAAAACAGTGCATTTTTTAATGTCTTCTTCCCTTTCTTTCATCAAAATGTGGAGAGGTGCTTGTCACTACATGTGGTGTAGTGGTCTCCCTTTTCACTGAAGTTGGAATTGTGGGCATTTTACTTTTTTTGTGAGATAGAGTGAAATATACAGACATTCCTTTTACAGTTAAACCTCACCTTTAAGCCTGAATTTAGTTATGAGAATCTGGTATTGTTTGTGTTGTTCAACAGGTTAACTAATAAAAAAGCAGTAAGAGTGCAGAATCATATTACTTTTTGGATCAGCTTTTCAATACAGTAGTTGATGAACACTTTATTGTGGGCCACTTGAAGAAGAAAAAAAAATTAGGGGGAGGATTTACTGCAGCAACTTGAATTCCATACTTGCATCTTGTTACCTCATAACATGGAGCTTGATGAAATGGGCATATCTGCCAAAGTTATTTTATGTTACTGAAAATTCCCAGCTGGAATATAGTAACTGCTTTTGCCTTCTTTACTTTGCTCGAATGCTGTTTGAAGTGATGCAGTTAAAGTAAGGGACAATTACTCCTTGAGTTTAGAGATCACAGTTTTGTTATGCTGAAGCAGTTACAGGAATATTGAAATTAAGTTATGCCTGTGGAGCTAAAGGAAGATTTTTTTTTTCTAGAAGGCCATAAAAACCAAATAAAATACTTTGAAATTATTTTTTTGAAAACTTAGGAACAAACACACACATGCTCATGGATAGCTTTTCAGGGCTTGCAGATTTTTGTGAACGTTTAAATATTTTATCTAGTGAATTCTCCAGATATCACAGGATAGATGAAATCACTACGGAGTGATCAGTTTTAACATGAAAACTGAGTAGTTTCATAGAGAGAGTAAACAGTTAAAGACATTTTGAAGTGTGCTGAGCTACTATTTTTCCAAGAAAAGAACTGTTGGTAAGAAAAGCAAAGCAAGTCACAAATACCAGCTGTGAGGTTCTAAAGATATTGTTGATTACATTACATTAAATGTTCTGATTTTTAAAGCTATGCACGAAGCTGTGGTTCTTCTGAGATTGTGACACATTTCACATCTTTTCTCCCTTGTGCATAATAAAAGTGATAGTTGCTCCTTGGACTAGTTCCATCTCAGTGGTTTTTTTATTGTTTTAAATGTTTTCCCCAAAAAGGACAGTCTACATTCAGTGTTACTTAGGATACTACCTAAAGAGGAGAAGCCTCAGAAGAGAGGAATTGCTAACTTGCCTTTTATGAAGAAGGCTCAACACCTTTGTTACCGAACCAGGTTCTCAAAAAAGATGAGAGATGAGTAAAAGGCCACCACTCCTCATAATTGCTTCTTGTAATAAATGTAGTTAACTTTCTTTACCTTTACTCCTGTCTGTGGCAATACAAATCCGTCTTGCTGTTGGGAAAATGGAACAGGGAAGTTTGGTTTGGTTTTTTTCCATTTAAAAGGCTGGTTTTTATTTGTTAGCAGACAGGTGAGAGCTAATGCATGTTTAGACAGAAGAAATCTTTAGTTTTCCGTGGGGTACCCGACAATTGTACTCTGCTGAGGAGCCTGAGGGTGCACATGCAAGTGTCCTGAGTTTACTAGAATTTCTTTGTGATAATGTTGCGAACTTACAGATAATGCTAAGGCTATAAAAAGCAATTGAGTAGGAGTGGAAAGAGCGTGTGATGTTTCTGAATATATCTGAACCTAATGGTAGGTTTTGACTCTTCCAAAATGTCTCCTCACTTTCCACTACTGTATATAACTGTATTTAGTTGTTAAACATTTGTCCAGAAAAACTGAACATTGAACATTTTTCTGGTGGAGCAAAAACACTTGTTATTTGGATTGCTGCTAGTAACACTTAGTATTCTGTGATGCTTCATTGCAATGAATAAACCTAAATTACTGTGTCTTAAACTTGGGAACACAACTTGACATTCATGTGTAAATTCATTGTAGAAAGAGATTGTATTCTTGGATAAACTTTTCAGCTGAGGTAAATCCTGAAATGAGCATGAAAATGGCTAAGCAAATTAACTTCCTCCTACCTTTTTTTTGCAGGCTAGTATATCTAAAAATCAAAGTATGTACCTTGAAGTTTGCAGCTGATTCAGCAGCTACGGTGCATTGCATGTTATCAAATATCCCAGCTGAACAATACTGCACTGCTATGTTACTGTGAGTTAGGTTTCCCTTGACTACAGGACAAAAACTGTCTTCATGATCTTGAGTCCTTAGGGAAGTGTCTTAATAACCCAATATGCTTTTCTTAGCCAGGGCCATGATATTGCAAAGAGCAATGGTATTCCCCAAAAAGGAAGGCGCTTAGTTAGCATAAAATGTCAGAGCATCTAAAGGATAGGTAATGGCTTTGACTTATGTTCTTGTTCAACAACTTGTTCATGAAACTACTCCTGGAGTCTTTTTTTGGTTTGTGTGATGTTTTGTTTTGTTTTGTTTTTTTAAATCAGTCTAATTTGGTTCTGTCTACTTCATTTGAAATCAGAAGCTCAGAAACTTCCTGACTGCTTGATGTTTGGGGGCTAGTAGGTGAAAAAGAAGTTGAGCACTGTTTGAAATTGAGAAAAGAATAGAATTAACTGGAAAATTAGAAGCCCTGATGAAATGACAAGACTGCAGTTCACCACTGAATTTCAGGGCAGAGTTCCTGTACAGGTTTCTCACAGCTGCTTGTGCAATTCTAATACTTCATCTTGCTTGCATAAATAAAAATGCTGAATAGCTCTCTGAAGTGCAGATATGTGCCTCTTAAGGGCATACAATTCATATAGTGGTTCTTGTTCAGCGAGTGAATTGGGGCTGGAGGCTGGCTGTGTGTTTTGGGTTTTTTTCTTTGTTTTAGAAGTGTTTTGAACTGAGCCTCTGAAGGCCAGTGGAATTAAGGGGGGTAATAAATAAAAAGGTGTAATAATGACAACAAAAACCAACAAAGAACCACCCCCCCACCAAACACGTCTGGAATTAAAATGAATAAACAGTTCTCTCACAGGAAAAAATCATACCCAATATGGATTTTTCTGAAAGCTGATTCCCTACGTGATCCAGTTGGGTGGAGCTTCAGTTGAAGCTTCCCTATTCCACGGTTAATAATGTTTTATTGTTTTCTGTGTTTGTGTGTTATCTGATGTAGTGTGGCCTCAATAAAAGCGCATTTAGGTGATAAGGGAAAAACAATAAATCTCTGTTTCCATCAAACTGTAGGGTAAAATAGCCTTCAGTTCCCTTTTCTTGCAAAATTATTTGTAAAACTGTAGTTGTGTTACACGTTGGGATCTGTTGTCTTCTCTGACTGCAAAAAAAGAGATACGGTATGGTCAAATAGATAAGCAAGATGAGGGAAGGTGTTGCCCTGTTTGCTTTTAACCTTACCAGTTTTGTGTTTTGGGGGATACACAACCCAACACACTTTCAGTTGAAAATAAAATTAAGAAAATAAACTTAAGAACAGTAAGAAACGAAGTCATGCTTTTCAATGTGTTATCAACATTAATCTTATATTGAATCCAAAGCACTGTAGCAGCTACAAATTAAAAATTTATTCTGTCCCAGCCAAAATCAGGACACGTATTGGTATAAAATTGGTTACCTAAAAAGCATTAAAAAATGAAAAAATGTAGGTAGCTTGATGTAAAATACTTTCCTTTTTTTGAACACAACTTCTCGTTACATTCTTGTTTCCTTTAGATTTTTCCCCAAGGAGCAAGCTACTTATATGAAACAAAATACTGAGTGTATGGATTAAATGTTCAAATGCATTCTTACTGTGAACAAGTTATGATTTTATGTGCTTCTGTAAGCCACTATAATAGCAAATATAAGTATAGAAAAGTAAGACTTCTCTTAGTTACAAATTTTGTAATTACAAAAATAATTTTTCAGACACAGGCTTCATGTCCTATCGATCGCAGACCATTTCAAGCAGTGTGCAGGCTGGATGCATTAGACAAACAGATAAAGGTACGTTCTGGACTTATTTTCTGAAACAACTTCAGTTATAGGAGCATCAGAGTTATGCTGAAGCCTTTTATTCATATGTCTTGTGTTAAATAGGCTTTCATAACAAAATAATTGTTGTTTTAATGCTTCTGTTACATATTTGAAGCTAGGGATTATTCTTAACTATTTTTTCAAAGCAAGTGTTTACAGTAGTAATAACAATCATAAAGCTGCTGTTGCTACTTTCTAGTACCTTTGAGCCTTCCTGATATGTCCAAGAATAAAAGTTTAGTAATTGGTCTCAAAGTGTTTTTTAAACTAGGTTTTGTAAGCAAATGCTATATCAATTATTGTGCAATACTGCCTTCTTTTTTAGCTGAGGTGAATCTTCTATGTTCACAGCCTCCAGTTCCCAGACAAAATCACATGAAGGCAAGAGGAATCAATTAATGCTGAGCCTTGTTTGACCTAAATATCTGAATTTTTTTCAGCTTTCAATTCTTCTGAATAAAACTGATATGAAGAGTAGTTCATCAAGTAGCAAAATAAAACTTCTAATAGATGATCTTGAAAATATATATATAAAGATGCTGCTAATTCTGTGTACAATTTTGCAATTTTGTGGTGAAATTATGGTTATAAGTAGTTCATAAGCTGCTGGTTTTGCATTTTGTGATGTTTAGAAAACAGGCTCCTGCTACCCATTTCTTGTGCTTCTCGAGGTCCAGGTAGTCACCTGTAAAGGCACCATCCTGGCAATCACAATCAGATGCTTCCTTCTCATAGAAAACCATGTTTGAATATTTTATCTTTGTTTCTAAAGAATCAAGGAAGCAGCTGAAATAGGGTAAACTGAAGTTTACATTTGGAAGAGTGCAAAGGCTGTATCAAAACATAGTTTGAAAGGTTCTCTGTTTGTAGAACTGCAGTTTAAACAGGTGAGCAGAGAAGAAAGGTCCTGCTCTGAAAAAGAGCCAGCAGAGCAATAGGGGTAGATGGAATGTGTACCCAGAAATGCAGACACAGTGGTCAGCATCAGCAGCAGCGCTATCAGGACGTTGGCAGCTTTCCCTTTGTGATATTCAGAATTAGAATGCTAGTAACTTAAGGAGTTGCGTAAAAAGCCAAGTTTTGGGAATGAGGAAATACCAAGTATCTAGTGGAAACAATTGCAGTGTAGCCACTGAAGGAACTTCATAGTATGAAATAAAAATTGTATTGCTTTCTTAGAATTTTTAAGGTGTGGAACTCCAATATTGTATAAAATCCAGAAGTTATTTTACTCTAGAGGAGAATTCGATGTGTTTTAATTATGAGAAAGCTGTGAAGTTGAGTGGTAGTTCAGCATTTTCCCTGTGTCTTCTGAGCAATGAACTTAGTTTAAAAAACTTAGCTTACGGATTCTCATTGAAAGATAGTGAATAGCTTTGGGACGCTTGCCATGGTAGTCTGAATGGATTTTTTTGGTTTTGTGAAATTAGTATGTGTCTCCAGGCATTGGCAATAATGTATCAAGATGTAGGGGTTTTTCCATTTCATGAAAAACAAATGAAAAAAAGAGTCTCCAAACTGTGAAATCAAAATAGTAAGATTTGAAATGGTTTCTAGTCCTTCTGTTTGAGCTTATTTTCTGTGTAGACTGGAAGAGTCTTTGAGTGAATTTAAAGCCCATGTATAGTGAGATTTTAGATTGGATTGACTTTATTTTACAATACAGGTTCAGGTTAAAAAACAGCAAAGGAGGAAGGAAGAAGAAGAAGAAACCTGTGCCTGCAATAAGGAAACTTATAGCCATATGAAGATGAGAAGTTTTGTGAGGTTGGTCATCCATGTAGTTTCAAGAATTTGAATTGGAATATTCAAAATGTATAAAATAACCTGGTTTAAAATATACAGCCTCAAAATTTTTTAAAATTAGTTTTATTTTAAAATAGCTTAATTTTCATCAGTGGTAGTTGAGCTTTACTTTTATCATAGCTATAATTCCCACCTGAATACTTCAAATAGCAAGCAACAAGTAAAGGGCAATGTATTTCTTGCATTGAGCTCTGTGAAAGTTGCATTTTTCAAGCAATTCTGACAAATTTCATATTTATTTGAAATAATATTTTATGGCTAGATCACATTTTAACATTATAAGTATTTTTCTTTGTTTATTTAAACAAATATCGCTTTTTCTTTCATGTTATCATAAGCCTTGCTAGTATTCCTCTACAACTGTAAAACAGTTGTAATCAAGAACTAATTTTATTCTAGTGGGTTTGAGAGGGAACAGTGGAAATAACATTTCTGTTCTGAGAATCTTATCACATTTGTGAGAATCTTATCACATTTGCTGCATTGTATAAGGGGAAGCTCAGGATTATACAGCTGAATTTCACTAAATAGTGCTAATCTAATGTCAGTCTTTATTGGAATGGATGAAATATACAATGTTCTCGAGATTTAATGTGAAGCAGACTTCGCTACAGAAAAGAAAATAAATAAAATTCACCATTATGAATCATCATTGATTTTGGTATTCTTAAAAGTATTTAGGGAAGCAGGTTATAACGTCTTTCACATGTTGCCATGAAATCAAGCAAAATTGAGCATTCAGATTTAATACACGATATTAACTTTTGTGTAAATAGGGTTGTTTTTTTTCTATCTGTAAGATTTTTGAAGCACTGTAGCTTTTCATATATGGAAGATGATATTCATCATGCAAGTTCAGGTTTTAATAGCAGTTAGAACTTGGTTTATGTGCACAAAATAAAAATTTCATAAAATAGGAGCAGATTTTGTTTGGGTGTTTGAAGTGTTAGCTTAAATATGCCCAGAAATAACTTTTGTAATATCTTATGTTGATTCTGCAGAAGAACTGTATGTCCAAACAGAGGGCTATTAGCAGCAAAATTAAGCAAAGTTGTGAAGAAAAAATACAGTAAGTTGGTGTTTGTCTTCCATTTGCTAGAATTGCTGTGTTTTATTAAGGAACTCTAGAATTTCTTTTCTTGATGCACCAATTTAATTTTTTTTAATTGCTTACATTTGTATATAAAACCCAAGTACCTAGTAATAGAAGCGTGCAACTTTTAGAACAGAATTGCTGTATGTGAAACTCATGTTCTTATTTTACTGGAAAACTGCCTCTTCAATTTCAGTCACAAGTGAAATGGATTTAGTTTCAGCCTCAAGTCATTTTCTGCATCAAGCAGTTGGGAACAGCTAATGACTAGGCTTTATTCACAGGAAGCTTTTTGGTGAGAGTTCAGACACGAGCAGCACTTAGCTGTATTTTGGAGCTGCCATTTTGAGGGGCTTACTTAATAGGTACTGTTTGCTAAGTCTGTTCTTAACTTAGGAAAGTAAGCAAATATCTCAAGAGGAAAAAACTGCTTGATATCTAAAAATCTATTGTGAAGGTGTGTGCATTTTCATATTACTCAGTTTATATGTAAACATTGTAAATGTACTTGAGATATACATTTTCATTAACCTCCCATTGCATTAATGATTTTAACAAACAATCAAGAGCTAATATTCTAAAGTTAAGATCAAAATTTTGTTCCTTATTCCACACAGGTAATATTTTGTATGACAGACGAAACAAGAAAGCTTTGTCTGGGAAGATAAATAAGGTTAGTTCTGATAATGAAACATTTGTAAACGCCTTCTTTCATTAAAGCATTTTTAAGACTACCTTTCTGCTTATTTTTAAGGTTAACTTCTATAATTTGTTAATTTCAGTATGATTCAAACTTCGTTATTTTGTCTCTTTTTGTCTTGAAGTAATTAGAAAATAGTGTTAGGTTATATGAGCTTATTTCTCATATTAAATTTAGGTTTGTGGTGATAAATATTTTCATTTAGAGTAGGATGTTACATTGTAAGATCCTGAACCCTGTTTTTATCTATCTTCATCAAAGGAAGATGATTTCAGCTACAAGCTGTCAGCCAAACACCACTGTATGAAGGTTTTCATTATTTACATGAAAATACATAGATGTAATTAACTAAGTAATTTGTTATGTGAATAAGACATGGACATTATCGTTTGCATCAAGTTGGGGTTTTTTTAATGTGAGATTACTGACAAGAGTGTTTGTCTTTCCAGGTTTCTTGTTTAGTTCATAAATTTTAGCCTATAAACACAGGATCACAAGATGTTAAAGTTATAAGGAGCTCTAAAGGCTCTCATTTCATTTCTACCATCCCTCCTTTCAAAAATACTTTGTATATCTGGGACACAAGTTTTTGATCAGGCTTTCTTATTCATAGTTGTACCAGTATATGTATTTGCATGAAATAGTTTTAGGCCATAAATTTAATTCTGAAGTGTAAATGCCATCATTCTCTATCATTCTGTCTTACATGAAGTCTGAAAATTTGGAGGAAAAACTGTGTTTGGGTCCCTGCTTTGCCTATTGCCTTGCTTCATGCAGTGTAGGGGCTGAGTTGTCACTTTTATTTGGTGCTTATTACACCATAGTTCTCAGGGATATCTTTAGGTCCAGTTTTCCCCTTCTAAGTCAGATATTTAGAAATTTTGGTTCTCTTACCATGTAAACTTAAAGGTACCTTTTAGAGGGTTTGAACTGGAAAGATAGGGCTTAATGGTAGATCAGCCTCTAATTTAACTTCATGGTTTAAATATGAATGCTTTCATATGTAGTTTCACTGATTTGTTGTGAAGTATTTAATAGCATTAATATCTCAAATGGTACTTTGCTGCAAAAAAAAAAGTGCATAAACAAAAGGAGAACCATTAAAATCCTTCAGGAGGAGGTACAGGGCTCAATTATCCAAGAAATATGCAAAATTTAAAAGAATTTAAAAGAAAGCTCTGATGTACAAACAACTACTTCATAAGGTTTGTAGAACATCTGGATAGCTTTTTTAGATGGAGGGAGAAATGTTAATGTTCCAAATTCATAGTATTCTTGAAATAAAACTTAAACCCAACAGTTTTTTAGGCAAAACTTAAAATTTGCACATTGATGAAATAGGGCATGTTCTCAGCAAAAGCAACTCTCTGTGCCAGTTTGATGCAGCATATGGATAATGACTGCATGTTGAGACACATATTTATATATATCCAATTATGAAGTTAATTTTCATTCAGTAAAAAGAAAAATAATGGCAAGAGTCTAAGTTCCTGTTTTAAAATACCAGTCATAGTGAGTGAACAGGAATGTTTTAGTCAGATTTGAGGTGGCATGAACCCTTTGGGTGCTGTGGCAGAAATGGGTCAGTGTAGTTAAGTGTTTCACTCTGGTAGTCTGAGAAAAGTATCTGGAGGATTGTTGTTCATTTGTTGTTGGGGTTTGATTTTTGTTTTTTCCCCTGCAGCCAGCCCAGTACACAGCAACAGAGTTGACTGCACACATGCAAAAGGCAATGTGCCAGCACACAGCAGACAAAGTGGGTTCTGAGTGTTGTACCTCTGTGGGAGGGCCCATTAAACAGACAAACCAGTCAATCTTCAATTTTGTAATTCTACCTGAAGGCAAAGGAGAATCCCAACTACCCATGTTAGGTTTTCTTGTTAGTTGAAACAAAACATTGGGTGAACTGCTGTGTAGGTCTCAAGGTGCTAACGCTGTACTTACTGTGGTGCATTAGGTAGCAGAAATGGGAATTGTGCAGTAGTAAAGATCAGGCTCATTTATTCGTAACTTCTGTATGGAGCATTAAAGATTTTGCTTGGAAAGCCTATATAAAATATAAAGTTTATCTGCAAAGAGCAGGTGTTGAAAATTTAGAGGCTGAATAGAGAAAATTTGTTTGCTGTAACTGCAAATCTCCGCATATAACTATGGACTTATTATGTTGCCTGCTTTTTATGAGCTAAAGTCTTACTGACATAATTTAATTTCAGTGCATCTTCATGTATTTAATGTTAATTATTTTATTTTGGATGTCTTTAATTCATAATTTATTTCTTTTGTAGCCCAGAAGACAGACCTGCTGGAATGAGTGCATCAGAACTAATTTCTTCAGCACACTTCTGGCCAGTGATAGCAGTGAAGAATCCTTTTTTAGCTGTAGGAATGACTGGTTAGTGTGTACTAGTGCTTCATATAAATTGATGGGTTACTGTGTTGTGGATTCCTTAGTTCCTTCTGTTCCTACCTGTATATACTGCCTTGAAATATTATGAAGATTGGCAGGGCTTATATTCATTAATGAAGAGCAGTTAAAGGATAAACACAAATATTTTAAAATGAGTACTGTTAACGGCACACTCCAATTTCTCTCATGTATTCAGCATCAGAAGCACACATTTAAATATTTCAGTCTTTTTGATTTAATAGGAGTTTTGGTTTTAGTTTATATTTAAATTCCTTGCTGAATTGAAGCCTTGGATAGGGAAGGCTTAGCCTTGTTATTACAGTAGCAGTTATCAAAACAATTAACAGTGAATATCCTGGTTTGTATCAGAAACCGTCTCCTTTATTGTTGTTTCTTGATTCCAAGAGGAATTCTTTAAAATGATTTTAAATACTTTAAAATCCATGAAGCAATTTTGCATTAAGCAAAATACTTAATACTTAATTAAGCCTAATACTTATATGCATGGAAGAAAAAGAGCAGTCTGAAGAATATTATTTGGATAATATGGACTAACAAAAAAAAAATACTATGTCTATATGTTTTTGGCAGTTGGTAAAAGACAAAAACTTTTTGCCATGCATGCAACAGAATTAATTGTCAAGGATGCAAAGTTTCTCCGTCTTTCAACTGCCTGAAGACACATTTCATCTCCTGTTTTTCATTCCATCTGCTTCATTTATTTAGGACTTCTTTTATGTTTACTGTGACTGTGTTTTTCCTCTAAGCAATAACCATGTGTAGTTTAATCATGCCTGTGGAAAGTTCTAATACAGTTAAATTTAAAAAGTCATTGATAGAACCAATTACTGAAATACAAAATCATCATAGTACAAAGTTACTTTTTGTAACTTTTTGTATGAAATTTGTCTTTCAGTGCAGAACTCACAGAAGTCAATACAGGGATCAGACAGAAGAGACAAGAACTGGAATTGTCCTGTTCATCTGTGATTGCTAGAGTTGAAAGGTGAGTGTTTTGGATTCATAGTGCAAAGGATCTTAATACTTCAAATTTAGAGTTTGATTAATTTAAATTGCTTTTTAGATAGAACATAATTTTCATAAAACTAAACAGTGTTTGTTAAATTTTTGTGTATTTACCAGTTAGTATTTTTAGGTCAATAGATTGTTTTCTGCATGTCTTAATACTTTTTTTGGTACTCATAACAAGCATAGTAACTCCACTGATTTGCGCATCTTAATATGTCACTTTTTCACGTAACTGTGAGTTTGAATATATTTTCTATTTAGAAGTTAATGTTCAATGTGCTTTTTACATTATTTCTAATCAGACTGTGTTTGCTTTAACATCAATCTGATTCTGATTCCGTACACTACCCTGGACCCTCCTTTCATGGGTTGGTTCTGTCACGTCTTTCTGTATAACAAATGCATCTAGACAGAGCTAACAGGAGTTCTGTCAAGTGAAACAGAGAATATAAAATAATTTTTTTTTGTCAGAAAGCAGATGTATGTTAAAACATGCCCTAAGGGTTTTTTCATGAATATGAAGCAGAAGCATGAAAATAACTGATTTTAAAATAACACAGTAAGAAGTTGGTTCTGTCTATGATTTAATTTCACTACGTATCTCTTTAGTTTTTTTGGCATAAAAATAAAGGCTAAAGACAAAATAGCAAGTAAAGAGGTTTTTTAATTATAATTAAAGATTTAAATAATAAATTTAAATATTTTACATGTACTTTTTCATTAGGGAAAGTTTCATTCCAACTCAGTGATGACTTAAAAATTGTAGATCTATAACTAAACTGATTTCGCCCAAGGTTTGCTGAGGGAGTCTGAATAAGTATGTATTTATTTTGTTTGTATTAAAAAAAATTGTCATACGAACTGTTTTTCATTTTTCTGCACAGAAGGCTACCATTCTGCTGAAGTACTAAATCAGCGTTCAGAAATTCATTTCCAGTGGTATAACCTACTGCTTTGGAGTAGACTATTACTGTTCTATCTGGCTTTGAAGGTTTTGAAGGTTTTGTTCACTGTCAGCTTTACGTTTCATTCCAACTGTGATAAAGTTGGAAGTAGCCTGGTTGCCCAATGTTTTGATTTTGTGCATTGTTTCTAAAACTTCCTGCAAACAACTAAAACAATTAATGTTACTGCTTTTACTTTTCCAGAGTTCCTTTAATGTTGTATGGAGCTGAAGCCGAGACCTTTCTTCTCACTTCTACTGCAGTGGCAGAGACAATTCTTCCAACGAATATCAGGCCTTTGGAAAACTTTGGTAAACTTTTTTTTTGTAAGTTTTATTTATAGCTCATGTGGAGTATCGTTAAAATATGATTCTCAGAAATTAAACAGAGCATATAGTTACACTTAATGGGGGAAAAAAATCTGTTCTGGTGCAGTTTGGTACTGTTTTGAAACCAGCTAGTTCATTGCTGAAATTGGAGCACAGAACATGAACCATCCACCCCAAAACTGGTGTAACTTCTTCACAGAGTAGAAGATTAAAATAATAAGTATGTAACTTAAATCCATTTCTAATTTCAACACTTTATTTTCTTTTGTGCTCTTCTTTCTTTTCCCATTGTTCAAGGATAAATCTCATTTTCATGCGTTATGAATGGCTTGATATTTTCAGTGATATATAGTGCAGTGTGAGGAACAAACCATTTCCTGACAGAGAGGAACATTAGTTAGGAAACAGCAAAGCGTATGGATCTATTTCAGTATGTCTACAAGCTCTACAAGGCAAAAGCTTGCAGAAGTACTAGAGCTCCGAGATCTGTCTGGAAAGTAGCAGAAGACAAAACATGGAAGGAGCTGCCTTCCTCCAGTTACTTTTAACAGCCTCTCTCTCCATACTGAGTAAGAACGTAGTTCCTCTTCCAACAGTCTGCAGAAGTTCAAAGAAGTGGAAGCAATGGAGAGCTATTTTTTAAGGCTAGAGTTAATACCTTCTTTGAATTGGGAATTACACTGCTTTCACTGGACTAGTAGGCAAAGACATAGGACAGATTTGGGTCCCTTGGCTTACAAAAATTGTGCGGAAGTAAATTGCTGGAAGGACTTAAGTGGAAAAGTTGCTTTATTCATTCATATTTTTCATTCTTTTTAAAGGTATGTATTTCACCTCCACATTTCCCAGTGAAAAATGGATAGGTTACTTCCTCGGACCTCTGATGTTTGGCAGTGCAATGTAACTGATCCTTAACCAGTTTGCACCTAGTAGTATACTTCTTGTATACTTTCCTTCACCTTTCTACTCATATAGTCAGGCTTTTTTGTTAGAATGCACCAAAAGTATTAAAAATTTATATTTAGAACAGAATTTTCTCAGTTGTCGTGGTTAGAACCTTGATATTTGTACTGTGGACAAAGATTGAATTTTAAGATTCAATCTTAAAACGTTGCAGTAGTTGACTCTAGAGTTTTACATCATATTCAGGTTTGACTTTAAGACTTCCTACAGATTAAGGAGCATGCAGAAACTAAGAGTCTTAAAATTTCCTAGTGAAACTAGGGGATGGTGGATATGAAGATGTCTCTTGAGGTTTTGGTCACATTCTGTTGAGTGAATGTTATTTCCCCTTTCAGTTTTTATATAGCATCTGAGTAAAAGACTGACATGGCAAGGAGAAACCTAACCTAAATACTGTTAGAGATGCATGGCAAATATATATATATAAAGGAGAAGGGAGCAAAGCCTTCTCTTACAGGAATTATGAGAGATGAAGGAACTGGGACACTGACTTTCTGAAAAGATGGAGAACAGGAGAATGAAGGAAATAGATGCTTACAAAAAAAAGATGCAGAGTGGTTCTTGTGCTTCTTACTAAATTATGCCTGAAAGATCACAGCATAAGCATTTTATTTTTTTTCATGCTCCCCTCATCTCTTGGTCACACCTAAAGTGTACAGTTTTGCATCAGAGTAATAGTTGACAGTTGCTTCCAGGGTTGTACAAGGAGGCATTCAAATATCGATGATGGTCGTGTAACTGTACTGCCTGAATCATCCCTGCAGCTGCTGCAGTTTTTGTCGTTTCTTACCATCAAATAGTCTTTTTCATGAATTTGACCTGAAAATTCATTAGTGAATGTATGAATACCATTATGATTTAGGCTGACAAAATGCAGTTCTTCTGTGTGATTAAAAAATTTCCCGTAGTAAGTGAGCTGAAAGACCTTGTGTTTGGTCCGAGTCCAAAGCTTATGAAGCTTGTCTGTTAAAATTTAACAAGTGGTAAGGAATGCTAAAAAGGCAGTTGTGCTTCTCAAGTAGACTTGGAAAGTGCTAGAAAAATAACTTGCCTTTTAGTTCTCAGGATTCCCACATTCTGTTTATATTCCATTGGGCTTTTTTTATTATTGAAGACAATTTCTTCCCCCTTGAAGAAAAGCATCACAGATATTAAAAATTTGTAATGACATGTAACATCTGACTTGGTTTCCTGGCTATTATAATAGGTTTGAAGACGTGGTTAGTCTGAGACAGCCACCTGTCGCTGAGTAAGTGCTGGTTAACCACTGTGAAGTCACTTTGTCACAAAATGATTGGTGAGACTGTTACGGTAGATACCTGAAATAGTGTCGGTCACCTGAAATTCCTTTGGAAGTTCTTTACCATCATGTTATTGTCTTTTAAGTACATGGTACCTTCTATGCAATTGATGCTGTTGGTTTTCATTATCTTAAAGTGGTAATTTGATCACCAGACATGGTAAAACCAAATTCACTGTTATTGGGCTTTTTTTCCCACGTTATTGTGTGTTTGCTAGGAAGGTCAGAGGATATGATTATATTCCTGTGCTCTTTTAAAGGCTAGCAAGGTGGTTGTGGAGTTCATTTTCTGAAGTTATTGTCTGCATTTAATACAGTGATACATTTTTTTATTCTGCTAATAAAGTAGCAAGTGGCAGAAAGAAGCTTTTTTGCTGTTACTTACTTTTCTTATTCCTATCTTTTATATAATCTGTTGATGAATACACCAACAAATATTTTAGTGCAGCAAAAGCATGGGAAATAATGTTATAAAGACAGAATCACATGTTTATGATGTGATAAATTCATTGCAAAATCCATACTAATTAATCTTTCTTAGCAAGTTTCCACTATTTGCATATGAAATTGAAACTGTAAAAATAATTCATTTAAACACCACATTCTTGATGCTTCCTGAAATCTACAGAAACTATGAAACAAATTAATGGACATATCAAGAAATTAATTTAGTTCTGAAGTATTACATTCAAATATAATTACTTATTTTTCATTAATCTTTAATTCCTGAGCTGTCCACCATAAGCTTTCATAGGTATCAACAGTATGGTCTTTTCCTTTGCAGTGAATATAACCATTGGCTTCTCTACAAAGATTTTTGTCAAATTGTAAATGGCATGAAATAAATGAATGCAGTATCAACAGTGCTAAATCACTAGGCATGATTTAGTCATTCTTGGTACAGCTTTAGTTTTTTTGGTGCACTGTAGGCTGCCTCAAAACTTGCATGCCTTATGCAGTTCCTTAGGTGCTGCAGGCACTTTAGGTGCCTTGTGGCAGAGTTTAAGTCTAGTTTCCCATATAACTCGTGAATAAGTTTGCACTGTGTGAAATTGGATTTTGTAGAGGGATGTGCTGTCCTTGATGCTTCTGATCAACTGCTTCTCATGTGATCATCCACTGATAGCTGTGGAAAAACGTCCCTTTCTGTGGTATTGACCTTCACTGCCAACAGGCTTGTGTTACAGAGTGACAGGAACTGCCATATGCTAATAATGTTGTGTGGTTAATTCATTACTTTTCTAACAAATTATATGCTATTTTTTAGCAGCAATATCTATAACAGTTTCACTGTGAATGCCATTACTGCCCATGTAGTCGGCACTGCTCCTGAAACCTGTATTTAGTTGCCTGAAGTGTCACTTTGTTCTTGTTTCTGTTCTTTAAAACAATCAGAGTGCATTTAAAAAAAAACCCAAAGGCTGTGGCAGTATTTCATACTAAATCTTAAACTGTATTATTTTGAGGATATCTGTTAATCTGCAGAAGACCCTTTTATGTTCTTAACTTTGTTTGGAAAAATGGTTATTATCAAACTTTAATGCGTTCTGCTTTTATTAGAATCTTTAGGCAAAGGATATGCTGTTGCTTGTACCCAAGAAGGAGAAGAGAAAAAGGAAACTTCTGGTTCATCTGGCACGAGAGGAAGTAGGAGGAAATCGGTTAATACTACTCCTACAAGAAGGTCTGCACGAAACACCAAAAACGAGACTCTGAGTCAATCTCGGATCTCACCTCGATCAAGCAGTTCTGCTTGCAGCGCCCCTGACGGCAATAACCCATCCCTGAATAAAACTCATTCAGAACCAGAGAAGGCTCCTCCAAAACGCAAGTCTAAAAGAGCAGTTAAACAACAAACATCTGCGGTGAAAAAGAAACTGAGAAGTTCTGCACGTTTTGAAAAATCGCCCAGTGGCTCTGTGGAAGATGATGATGTTGCTGAGTCTGAAGCAGTTCTAACAGTAGATAAAGACCATCAGTCAGATATTGAAAGCAGCAATGCAAGCCTTGCACAGAAGAATAATGGGGAGACAGAATCTGCTAATGGATTGGAAAGCTGTAGTGAACATGCAGAAATTGAGGAAACTACAGGAGAATGCAACCAAGATGAAGATAATTCAGGCAATGTGGATTTAAGTTTTTCTGTCCAAGAACCTCCAATACTAACTTTAGGAGGTGAAAATCAGGAATCTGAAGTAAAAGGTATTACTGAAAGAAAAGTAGGTCTTACTGATCAAGACGTTTGTGAAAATTCTCTTGAACGAACAGAAACAGTAGCTAGTCCCAAAGATGACATATGTGACCATACAACTTTTGAAAAAGTAAATCAGGCATCATGTAGTCCTCAAAATGAATCAATGGAAAATGTAGAAACTTCGACAACAGTAGATCAACCCATAGCTAGTCAAGAAAATGAATCGTTGGAACATCTAGAACCTTTGGGAAAAGATCAGTCGTCAGAGAGCCCCAGAAGAGAATTGTCTGATCATCCCAAAGTCATGGAAATAGCTAATTCTGAGACTGAACTCAACCCAGTAGTAGACTGTTCAAGTCTGAAGACTCTTCAAGATGAAGAACCAGATATGCTAATACACAGTATTTCTGTGAACAGTACATCAGAGCAATCCTTAAAAGAGAATGCCATTTCAGAAAGTGAAGAGGGTGGAACTTCAGAATCACCCCAGGTAAACGCTGAACATAAACATTTTGGTGAAGATAACAATGAAATGATAGCAATGGATTGTGACTCATTTTGCAGTGACCAGAATGAACCTCAGATTGAGCAGTTACCAGCAGCTGAAAGTACAGAGCAAGGAGAAGTGAATTCCTTACAGTGTGATGTGGGAAACTGTGCATCAGTTTCTGATGAAAAAGATGAAGCTATTCCTCAAGAAAGAGAGTGCCAACCAGAACTCAAAAAAGAGAAAAAGACTCGAACTAGAAGATCTAGGTTTCATTCTCCATCGACAACTTGGTCTCCTAGGAGAGAGGGCAGGAAATCTCAATCACCATCCCCTAAAAGGGATATGAACAGAGACAGGAGCTCACGATCACCCAAGAAGGAAACTGTGAGGGAGGGAAGGAGGTCCTTATCTTATTCTCCAAGGAGAGAAACACTCAGAGATGAGAAAAAAACACCATCTCGATCTCCCAAAAGGGAAACTGTCAGGGAAAGCAGAAGATCATCATCTCGGTCAAGAACTAAGGATTCGTCTCCAAGGCAAAAATCTAGGTCTCGAAGCAGTGATAGAGATTGTCAAAGAAGAGACCATGACAGAGAAAGAAGAAATAGAAGGTGGTCTAGGTCACGGTCTAGGTCAAGATCACGATCTAGGACAAGAAGTAAAGGTTCTTCATTCTCTAGAAATGAGAGGGAAAGTCATTCACCTCGATGGAAAGAGAGATGGACAAATGACAGCTGGAGGAGTCCCAGAAGAAATGATCGATACAGGAGAGATGATCAAGAGAAACAGAATGAAAATCTTAAAAGAGAGAAGGACAGTACAGAAAAAAGCAATGATGTTCAGTGTTCTTCAGACAAGCAGAAGAATGATTGTCCAGACTGGGTAATGGAAAGAATAAACTCTGGTCCTGAAGTCAGGAACAGAGAGAGAGAGAAACCATATTGGGAAGACAGCAGGCATGATAATGCAGGACAATCTTGGAATAAAAACTTTGGTTCAGGTTGGATTCCAAATCGAGGGAGAGGTCAGCGTGGACGAGGTGGGCGTGGGCGAGGTGGTTTCATGTATGGAGACCAGAGTGAAAATCACTGGCAAAACAGGAAACCTCTCTCAGGGAACTCAGATGGTCCTGGGAATGAAGCTTCAAGGTTCTCAGAACATCAGCCCTACAAGCGTAAGAATGAACAAGATTATTCGTTCGATACGCCTGCTGACAGATCTGGGTGGACATCTGCATCCAGCTGGGCTGTAAGAAAGACTTTACCTGCTGATGTGCAGAATTATTATTTGAGAAGGGGACGCAATTCATCAAGCCCACAGTCTGGATGGGGAATGAGACAAGAAGAGGAGACACCTGAACAAGGTATTAATGGTTTTGAAGTGTAGTAACTTAGTCACAGCTGCAGTAGCTGAGCCAAGTCCTAGTCACATGGTCCTGTCTCGAGCTGATTAGTTTTTCAAAACTATTTGGGGTGAATCCATAGTCTTTTTGCAATATGGAGGGGTTAAGGTGTAGAGTTTGAGGATTTCTTGTGTTTTGATGGCTTCTTGATTTTTCTTAAAGTCTGGGTTTAAGGACTTCGCATCTGAAGAGTGCTGCTCAAGTAAATGGATTTGGCTGAAGAGAAAGCATTTTCTCTTCATGGTTACTTTTAGCATCTACACAACTTTTAAAAAGGATAATTATTTCCAAGAAGACTTGAATTTGCCTGTGCAAACCCACACAACAGATTTTAGAGATGACAAATCTCTGTGTTGATGTTTATCTTGCTCCTTGATAAGCATGGTCCTCTGTAAATGCTTAAAAAAATCTAGGGAAATTTATAAATGCAAACCCAGTTCTTTTACTCTACTGCAGCAGTAAAATTCCTCTAAAACTTCAGTAGAAATCTAAAGGTTTCAAGGTTTTTTATGTCTAAAAGGTACCTGCCATGACAGAAATAAACTTTTGATAGGAAGTGAGTTAACTGTAGATGAGATGGATTTTGAATAGCTAAGAAGTTATCCACAGATTATTAATGCCCTGATACATTAATAATCTTTAAAGACAGATGTGAATTGAATTTAAAAACTATAAAATCAGTTTCTGAAGACAACCACACTTGCACTTTCCCTTGTTTTGCCTTTCATTTTTGTCCATTTTTATCCCACATGCCAGCAGTTTTCTCCCTCAGAGACAACTGCATCTGTGGCTTAGTTTTGAGGCAATGTTGTCAACCTTCAGTCTGCTGCAGGGAAAACTTATCAAACCTGTAATTGAAAGCATTTTGTGATTTACAGACTTTTTCATATAGTTCAGGAACAATCATGCTGTTATTTGCTTTTGAAACCTGAATTCAGCTGAGAATAGTTAACAGTCTTTCATAACTGGATAAGACAGGCTGGGTTGGCATCATGACATGGTTCTGAATGACCTGGTCCTCCTGAGCAACCTGCTTTTGCTGACCCTGCTTGAGCAGGGAATTGGGCGATCTTAATAGGTCCCTTCCAACTTCAGTGATTCTGTTATCCCATGATCTTTAAAAATGAGGATTTGGGCGTGTCCTGTGAATTAGATGACAGGGTTCCTCAAGGAAGGGATTCTCAGGAAGGATGTCTGAATTATAGCCCACCAATCATTTCTCCAAACTAATTTCTTGACTTCTGGAAGGCCTGATGCTTGTATCTGGATTTTAACTTTTTGACTTGTATTGAAGAGAGAATGGGATACTAAAGTAATTTATTTAAGAAGTGCCACCCCAAGAGGTTATTTTTACTTCTAGGCTTTGCCTATTGTACCATTACAGGAGTTTTGAACAAGTTTTTCTGAATATTAGCATCTCTTAAATTGGTTGAGGATGTTTTTTTGTTTAGTGGAAAAAAATCCCAGCAGAGTATTTCTGTAATTACCAGAAATGGACAGTGAGTGTGTGTGAATCAGGGAAAGGAGAGCAGAGAATTGCCTATGTGATAATGTATGACTAACCTGCAATTGCAGAAGCTGGATAATTTATGTTGTCTTCCTGCTCTTTGGTGAAAAATTGCAGTTTCATTGTGGTGAAATAATTTATGGGAACAAGTAGAGAAAACAGAAATTCAAAACGCAGGCTGCCATAGTAACCTGAACTTTTTAAACTTGGAAAACTAGCATTTGGCTCCATGACGTGTGGTGATGAGTGCTGTGTAATAATGTAATGCAATATCTTGAAAAGACTCACAGTATATAAAGCTTTTTAATGAAGAGTTTAGACACCTGGGTCCCCTTTTGCTTTATGAAGTACAGAACTTCTGCTTCATATGCTGTCTGTTTTTGATTTTAATAGATCCAAACCCCAAAGACCAAGGCAACCAGCAAAGTGATGGTTCTCAGTTACCAATAAATATGATGCAGCAACAAATGAATGTAATGCCACAAGTGAATGCACAGCACCAACCTATGAATATCTTCCCGTATCCAGTGGGTGTCCATCCTCCCTTGATGAATATGCAACGAAATCCTTTCAACATCCACCCTCCAATGCCCATGCATCTCCCTGCTGGAGTGCCTCTCATACAGGTAGCTGCTCCCACAAATATTTCTCAGGGATTACCTCCGCCTCCACCTCCACCCCCACCATCTCAGCAAGTCAGCTACATTGCATCACAGCAAGATGGAAAACAATTGCAGGTATGCTTTACCAGAAGCCATGATGGCAAGAGCAGTAGTGAAATACTATCAGTTAAGGGTTTCTTATCTTGAATACCATGGTCTTGATAAATTTATACTTGCAGTTTCTTTCTCTCTTGCCTGTTTTCTGCCACCACACACCAAATTTGAAGTGTCCATGAGCATATGGTTTGTTTTGGGACTGTAGCTTTTAAATAATAACACACACTACCATAACTGGCTTTCTGTGGTAACGAGGTGTTCCAGCTGGTAATGGAACACTGAAGAAATTCATCAATGTTGTCCATTACCTTTTTCTTCTTAGAAGTGCACTGTTTCCAAAACTAGATTTTCCCCTTCCAAACCTGATTTTTAAGCATTAGGAATTGTTTGAATCCCCTTTCAGCAGCATGTAGGAAGTGACCTAAACTTCTGTGTTACAGTTCTCATCCCATGGGGTCTATCAGCAGAGGAAAATTACCTAGTACTGCATGGCAGCCATTTGTTCCACACTTCTATTATCCAGCTGTCACTCTCTCAGCTGCTTTCCCACACATACATTTTCTATCCTGTTTAACCTTTTTAGCCTTTTTGTTGATGATTTCCAAGTCTTTGGTGTTTTGTACTTCCTCCCTCTTGCCTGATTCTCCTGGATTTGCATGCCCTGTTTAGACCGAACTCCCACTTTATTTCCCCAGTTTCAAAAACATTCTGCCATGGGGCAGGTCAGACCACTTTTTCATGCCTTTCAAGATATCTTAAAACCACCTATGCGTATGTATCCTCATGTAGCCAGCTGTTTATATTAAGAGATTTTATATCAAGGAAAGGAATATGAATAACTTGGAGAAGAATGCATGGCCTTGTGAGAAGATGTAACACTGCACTTTTGATAAGTAAAGGGCTCTTCAGGGATTGACTGGGGTTTGTGTTTTCTCTTGTTGCTGCCTGTCCTAACCTAAAACACTTTCCCCTGCATTCCAGGTTGAAAAAGTGATATTCTAGAACAAATGATTTCTAACCCTCTGTTTTCATGCATCATCTCTAAAGATCTGAAGTGAACTGATGAATGGCCTACATTGTTCTCACTTTCCACTGCTGTTATCTGTTCATATTCATTGACTTAGAACAAGGCGAGATAAGTGCTGTCAGAAATAGAGTGCGGTTACAGGCCGTATGAAATACTTTATTACACTGCAAGGTAAACCAGCAAGGTATTGCTGGAACTGAATGCTAGTAGATTGATTTGACTAATGCCTGCTGTCTGTACTTAAAATATTTTCATTTTAAAATTGGAAATCCAGTAGGTTTAACCTCCAGAAGTGTAAGAAGTCAGAACGTAGGCTACAAACCTCTGAAATTGGTATCTAGTGCAGCAATAAATATGTTTCTATAAAGATTGTGTATGGCTGCAAAACAGAGTTACTTGTTGTAAAGCCCCTCTTATGTTTGTTGCTCTTAAACTCCTTTTGTGGAATGGTGTCCATGAACCTGAATGCTTTTGGGAGCTGCTGCTGCTTTTTTCTCTGAGTTTTCATTCAACAAGTCCTCAGCGGTAGCACAATAGAAATGACTGAATACAGCAGGACTCCACCTGTCCTTCCTGTTGAAAGAAAAACTAAGAGACTGCACTGGTGAGCGTTAGCATGCTGATTATAACAGCTCCATTTCTGTGTGCTTTCCAAAGAGCTGAAATTCCTGTTGCATTATTTTTCATCTGGATAAATGCAGATGTGTAAAAAGTAATGGTTGATTACCTGTGAAAAAGCAGCATTTAGTGTGGCCTGCCAGAAACGTGTTGGGAGGATGCATTCTGGGCTTTTGCTAAAAATGGCCTCTATCTGAAGTCTGAGAGCTTCATTATTTCCCAATTCCTGTGTATCTGCAATGCCTGCAGGAATGCAAGTGTGGTTTCAGGTTTCTTTTCGCTTGTGTGTTTCAGTGCTGATTTTTAAAAAAATGTTAATCTGATTTACAAAACAGGTCTGTGATAAGTAGAGAGATTCTGCAGCCATAAACTTCCTTCCCCCCCCCCCCCCCGCTGTGGTAACACCCTCCACGCCTGTTTGCAGGGTACTTTGTTTTATCACTGGGATCAGAGCAAGTATCTGGCAGCCACAGCAGTGATATGGAGGAGGCTTCACTTCTCAAGCTCTTTTTTTTTTTTTTTTTTTTGTCTTTGAGTGGCTCTAATGTAATGTGTGTAGCTTCCATAATAATGGACAGTGTGGAAATTAGGTAATGAACCAAAGCATGTAATATTCGTGCTCTTTCTATAGCAACTGAGACTCCTAGAAAGGCACATTGCCATATGGAAGAATAACAATAATATTAACTACTGATAACTTTTTAAAACAGGGTATTCCAAATGCTGCTCATGTAAGTAATAACATGAGTGTTCCAGCCTTGCCTGCTCCAGCAGCAGTCCTGGGAAACGTGGGAACAGTTCAGGGACCAAGTTCGGGTAATGCAACGTCATCGGGTCACATCAAGAGCTCTAATGCAGCTGTAAAATTGGGAGAAAACAAAGCAAGTGTAACAGTGGAAGCCAGTGCAGATAGCTCGAAGAAGGACCAGGCAAGTTGAAAGCTCAGCATATATTTATATATACACTGTTCTATATATTTATATTAAAATATATAAATTTTAATATTTTTATATATAAGATTATGTATAAATTATGTAAAATTATGTATAAATTTTGATATACTACAAAATAGCAAATTATGACAATAACCCTTCAGTGTAATATACTCGACACCATCATGTGTGTAATGTTTTTGTGGTGTCTGTAGGACACAGACTGCCAAGCTGACTCCTTTTAATGTAGTCTTCCTTAAAGCAGCAATATTACAAATATTACTTTGATTGCTGTGGGACAACGTTCAGTTCTCAGGAGACCACAGCCATCTCCTTTGAGAGCTGAAATGTGGACAAGGGGAGCAGGGTTGTCTAGTCTTCTGTAACAACTTTTTTCCTGTGAAGTTTTAAATTGTGATTGATAAAGATACACAAGCATGTGGTGAAAAATAACACTCAGGTTTGTTTTCTCATCAGAAATTGTTAATTCAAGAAAAAGCGGCACAAGAGGTCAAACTAGCTATTAAACCTTTCTACCAAAATAAAGACATCACTAAGGAAGAATATAAAGAAATTGTGCGGAAAGCTGTAGATAAAGTAAGTTGGTCTATCCGAGATGCATACAGTTCAACTGAGGCAGGGTTGGGGGTGGATTTCTTGTTCTTGGGAACAACTGGTAGTTGATGGAAAGGGGGAACAGGAGAAGCAAAAATACCTTTCTCCATCCAGCAGAGCTTTCTTGGCTCTCAAAACAGAACTCGGTTGTTGTGTGGAAAAGTTGAATGGGAATTCAGAATTTTTTCGGAAGCAATCAGAAAGTATTAGGAGTTCTTAAATATGTTATGCCTAGGATGGAGAAATCTGGGGTGTTGGGGAAATGAAAAATAATGTGGAATTGTTGCAAATCAACAGAAATGTTTCAAGTGTTTTTTTTTTTTTCCTTTAAAACTGTTGTAGGTTTGTCATAGCAAGAGTGGAGAAGTTAATTCTGCAAAAGTGGCAAATCTAGTGAAAGCGTATGTAGACAAATACAAACATTCACGGAAGAAAAATCCTGAAGAGGCAGTTTCCTGTGAAAGGAAATAGAATATGTTTTCATTTTTTAGTTTTATTCTATCCGCAAAGTGCAATTTCAACATGAACCGTTAACTGAAAAGTGTACGTGACAGTGATTTGAATTTGGTTTTGATAAAATTATTTTTCAAGGTAGTATATAATGTTTTGTTCTAAAGAAATATAGATCTGCAGGGCAACTTCTTTATTCCTTTTTAAAAACAGATGTCTAAAAAGAATAAAGATGTAAAGAAGAATCATTAGGAATGTACGATTGTGTGGATACTTAGATGTACAGCATTTTGACTTCAATAACAGTTCATTAAATTAGAAACTTCTGAGTACATTGGAACAGGTATGTACAGTACATGTAATCAGTCAGATTAAAGTAAATTTTTTCTTTTGATAGCTCCCTAATTATAGCAAAGATAAAATAATTAATTGCCTTGAGAAATATTTCTAGCGTTAACTTGACAGGCTGAATGCAGGGGTCACGATGTGTATATTAAAAAGGCACATGGAGTTGTCTGAACACAAGAACTGTTTAGATTTTAAAAAGAAATATCATAAACAGTAAAACGTGGTGCCCAAAAGCATGGACGCTGCACATCTGTTGTAACACCAAATAAAAATTATGCTGCTTGGTATTGTTTGTGATGTTTTTCAGTTTGTTTCAAGATAGTGGGATAACTTGAATATTTTTGTGCTCAAAGCCCTCAATCACCACAAACTGACCACCTCAGTTCACATCTAACCCTGCCCTTAGCTAGTAGGGAATTAGTGTACTACAGCTGGATCTTCAGAAACAGAAACCAGCTTCTTTTTCAAGTAAAATCAAGAAAGCTGGAATTCATTATTAGGCTCCCAGTTGTGCCAATCTTAGCTGCATAATGCTTTTCCTCATTAACTAGGGACTGTAGCATGGATCGCCAGACTGGTATCATTGAAGCTGTGCCATTGGAAGTCCTGTGTCTTCCTGCTTCCCCGGGCACTTTTGTGTAGGGAGATTACTAGAAGTACCACAAGCATTTCAAAAGCCAGGTGTGGGGTCACTGAATGTGCTTGGGGAATGATTACACCCAACGTAAAACCAGTTTTACTGAGCAGCAGCAGGGAGGGTTGCTGAAACGCTGAGATCACTGTGTTCCTTATGGAAAGAACAGCTTGGGGTCCTCCTCCTTTGGGTAAGGAGCAGACGTATTTGTTCCCTTACTCTTAGACAGTGCTATTAAAATTTTGTCACTAGCTCTCCAGACATGCCATGCCATAACCTTTGGTGTTGGCTGAGCCTGGCTTCAGCTCCAGCCCTAGGTCTCCTGGCACAAAAGCAGGAGTAAACCATTTTGACAGAAAGTATCAGTCAAGTTTTCTGAGAAATTACCTCTTTGTAGCCAGTAGTTCCCAAATTACCTGTTCTTGGCAGAAAACAGTCTCACCCTGTAAGTAACTTTTGCAGAAACCTGAGGATGAAATAAGGAATATGCACCCCTGTACACACACACATGTGGTTTACAGAGAGAGAGATGTGTAAAAATGTGATGTTTGTCATAATAGTTGATCACTTGATTTTAACTATAACTTTCTACAGACTTACTGAAGCATTTGACTGTCTATATTTATTTTTGTGTGCCTAAATACAAATGCTGTGTAAATTAGAAACAGATATAATACATTTTCTACAGTCAAGCCAGGTTTTAGATTTTTCAAAATACTCAGTTTTACACTGTGGTAGCAAGTTGTAAGATCTCTTGAACTATTTTAAGCTAAAATTGGTTAGCGCTTTTTGAATAATGTAGCAAATTGCTATGTCTATCCTGGTTTATCACGCCATGCGTACTTTATTACATTTTCCTTCTCTGAATTTTTGGATTTTAATTACTTTTTATATCTTTTTTACTCTATACAGTTGAGCCTTGCTATAAAGCTCCTTTCAGGAGTCAGATAAGTGTTCTATGGGGGTTTTTTTCCCCTTGTGGAGGAGAGGTGGAAATTGGGTGGGAAGAAATAACAGAGGATTTGAACTGGGAAAAGGGAGTGGTTATTTATTTCTTGTTTTGCAGCTCCTGGCTGGAAGAAAAGCTGTCACTGGCTGCCATGTTTTTGGGGCAGTGACTATAGTGATGCTCCACTGTATTTCAGAACGTAATGAAGCATATCAGAGTAGCATGTGATCAGTAACTTTATTTTTTACAATTAAATTCTTTGGAGCTTATCAGTTTGTTACAGTTTCTATGCTGAATTTAAAAAATGCATTGCCCTAATGTGTAGACTCTCCTCCTGTTTTTCCCAAAAAGCAGCAAGGTCTCTGCTGGTGCAGCTGCCCGAGAAGGCGAGTACTGCAACCTCATGGCCATGTTTTTGTTAAAGTAGTATGAAAGCTGTATTTCTATTTATTGAAACTCCTTGTACTGAAAAGTCCCAACATGCACTAGCACTGAAGGCAGAGAGGTGAGGACGCTGAGCCCTCTCAGTGCCTCCAGGGTATAGGTAATTCCTTCAATCCAGATTGCCTTGAGGAAAACAATTACAAAACTCTGTACCTTCTGTGAACTTAGGCAAATGAAAAGGGTTTTCTGTTCACTTCTTCCCGTCTCACTGTGCATGCTGCTTGAATGTCTCATCCTAAAGATACGAGCACAGTGGCTGTCTGAAGTCCACAGTACAGTGTATGTAGCATATGGCTGGAGTGCTGTCTACTGAAAAAATACTCTAAAATCTAGTTTTTTGTAGTGCTTAACAGTTTCTAATAAATTCTTTTCACTAAGCTGGCAGTGTTTGGTCTTAAATGACTCTGGCTCAAGTGGTTTAATTCAGAAAGCAAAGTAGTTCCTATCACTTCTGTGCACATGCATTTAACTTGTTCTGTGTTGTCTGGACTCCCCTTCCTTTACATCTCATTTGTTTTAAGTTAGTCTTCAGCCTGCCTTGCCACTCTGCAGGTGCTCCGAGCTGAAAAAAACCCAAATGCATGTGGCAAAACGTCCATTTCCCACACGACTTTAGGTACCAGATCTTGCAAATCATCAGGGGGCTTGGGGCACGTGTCCTCATCTGGGGGAAGAAATGGGGCAGAGCTCAGACCAACCAGGCTGTGTCCTACACTCCACACTGATCACAGCAGTGAGCTTCGCTGGAATATCCTTCTGGTAATTTAGTGCAGGACAACCTGCCTGGCTGGAGAATGAAATTCCAGGCATCACTTTACTTTCAAAGAGTGCTCCACTGTACCTCCATGAGGTACCTCCATAGATAAACAGGCACATGGGTGAGAGTTATGGAACTATGCTTTTTTTGTTATTACTACACAGTACAGTATTCACATTGATCAATTCTTGATAAATAGCACAGACAAGACTAAGGACAACAAAGTAGATAACCACTTTCAGTAATTAAAGAGTAATTATTAGATGGAGCAGATTTCAAAATAATGGAGCGTCTATGAAAATATTATAAAATCACTAACCTAGAGCTTAGGGGAAAAAAACCACTAAAAGCAAAAGTAACTATTTGTGTAAAAGGAGATGAAGGTGTGAGAAGGCACAGGCTAGGATACGGAACTTGCCTTAAACTTTTCTCTTACTTTTCCAGTATTACAACTCCCAGACTCACCCACTAACAGTGAAGCTTTCAACCTGTTCTTCGTTTTCCCAGGCTGCAGTAAATCCAGGGAATGACAGCAGTGTAGTCAATGCTCATTACACACAGTAAACAATCAAATCCAGAGTGGAATCCAACACAAATTACTGCAGGAGCCAAACCCAAGGAATATTGGCAGCAGGTTGCCATATAATTAGTCCTGAAGTGTTGCAGAAATTACATCTAAAACCCATTATGAGGAGCATCAATCAAAAATAGCCTGGCATTCCTAGATGCTTTGGTGCAGTAACAGGTGTAATGAAAAAAAAAAAACAAAACAACTCCTGGAAGTCAGAGTTTACCTATAAATTCCAGAGCCTTTTCCAAAAATTCGGGGTTCTTGAGGACTGGGAATGTAGCTTACATGTGGCCTTGTGTCAAGCCCTAAGCTCCCAGGGTAGTTTGTAGAGGGGAATTCAACAACTGTTTAAAGGGTTCTCGTAGCCATAGAGCAGTATTTGGTTTGGGGGAAATACAAAACGCACACCTCGCCTTACACAGGTCATGGCGAGGGGATTACGTTTTTGATGTGCCGTGGGTTTACTATGGGTTTAGCCATAGGTCAGTCAGAGCCCACCAAGGCCAGCAGAAGAACAGGGATGAGGGTCCCTGTCCTAGGGAATGTGTTTTATACTTACTGATTCACCACCTACCTCCATCCTAAACAATAAAAACAGAGCTCCCTGCCCAAAGGTAAAGACAAGTGGCAATTTGGGTAAAAGAAAAAATTACTGTTGGGCAGGACAGCAAATTCCCTGTGGATGTGCAGGTTTAGACCCCCAAAGAACAAAACCTGCAAATCCTCTCAGATTGCAGTTTGCAGGAAATCCACCTACAAGGCATTCAAAGGCCACCTTAGAACACTGTCCAACAGCCACCCAACGTCACAGCATGTGACAGACATGTTTCATCTTAATGAGATTTTTGTTACTCTAATACTGCATTTCTTTTCACCTAAGGTACATCAGTTGTTTTCAAAGGTATGGGCTCAGATTGCTCTCTGGTTATCACAGACAGGGAGAAGCCAAGACCCAAATGGCAACAATGCTGTGAGGAACAGCCCACTGTGATACAACCAAGTGAAAAGGAGCAGGCCATTAAAAGCAATACAAAGTGGTTTAAGTAATTTAAGATATTGCCATCTTACCACGAACAAACTGGTGATACCTTAACTCATTATAATCAGCCTTGAGTTCTCTGCCACTTAAAAATGACTCATGAACTCAAACCTGTGTGTGAAATCCCCCTCATGCAAGGGATCTATCCAGCTACACACAGCCACCCTGCTTGTGCAGAGCTGCAGCCCCAAGTGCTGCAGGTGCACCCTCTGCCCCACAGAAGGACACGGAGCAACCTTTTGACTCCACAACCTTCGACTTGGTGCCCATGCCAGGCTCTGCAGTTGCACACACATCCCTACCCAGCAAATGAAGAGACATCAGCCATGGAGTTTCCTGCAGCCACCCATGCAAGGCACACCCGGCAACCCAGTAAATACCTGGCAGAAAAGGCAGAGGAGGGAGAGAGCACGATGAAAGGATTATGGATACCCCTGGGTATCCCCTTGCTGTTGCACAGCAACAGCAGATGTTCGGCAGTGATGGGAACTGAACTCACACCTTGCTAGGCACTCCAGGGCTTCTCCCTCCAGGCCAGCCCCCTTTGAAGCTTGAACTAATAAGAAATAAAAATGAAAACAATGTATTTTTAGAAGTAATAAAATTATTTGAATCCAGGATCTTCTCTGTTCCAAACCATAGGTGGGCAGGCAGTAATTAACATCGATGGCTGTGCAACTCAGCTCTGCCATCATGCTCTTCAGAAGAAACACAAGGAACCATATCATCAAGCAAAGCTGAGCATAAATTAAAGGAGAAAAGAGCTGATTTAAAGGTGTACAACTGCAGGGCATTTTCTCCTTCCAGGCAAGGCTGCTTCAATAGCTTTCAGTGGAGGTTAGACCACAGGCCAATGAAGTTCTCTGTTATTGTGCTGGTAATTTAACAACCTCTAGAGAACTCCGGCTGATGACTGAGGAGTAACATTTACTTTGGCAAGAGATTATTTTAGCAATGGTACTATACTGCAAAACACTTTAAAAGAAGAAATCTAAGTGTAGATACAAGAGATTTTCCTCATTTTAAAAATGTAAGTAACCTGAAATAGTGTAATACAGTTTTGCTATGGTTCCCCCCCCAAGAAGTTTGTACTCATCTTCAAGATGCTGTGAAGCCAAATCACAACGAAGATTCTTTACGACTGTGCTCTAGGGAGATGATGCTCACTGGAGACCATGGGACATTTTCCATCAGTAATGAGGTGACAGTGAAGTAACTTATAATAAAGAAAATACACAGAGAAATTTTGCAATTACCTGTTTCAAAAAGACCTGTAAGGGTCTCATGCTGTGTATTGTGTGCGATATGAAGTGCACCTTGCTAGTTGCTCTCTCCCCTTTTAACTTTCAAAAATTGGATTCATCACAAACAACTTGGAGCTGTGAAGAGTTAAGTGGCAACAACTTTGCATCAAACTCCCTCACATCACTGTTACACTAACAAGCACAAGCTAAGCCATCACACTGTGTAGTTACCTCACCAAGGTACCTGTGTGAATCCTGCAGCTTTTTGGCAACTGTGTTCTGAAATGGGAGGTGCTCCTAGAGCAACTGGCCAGGAAGCACTTCGCAGTAAAGCAGTGACTGTGCTCACACATCCCCGCGCACACCACCCTGCATCACACGCTGTCAGCAAGGCAGCCAGTGGTACTGGGCCCTCTGTTCCTTACTCAGAAATCCTACGGCAGTCTTGGAACCGGGGCACCTTTGCAGCACTTGGATGCAGTGGGAGTTGTGCTGAGCACTGTAAAAGGCCTGTAACAGAAACTGTATGAGAGGGAAAGGTCCAACTACTGCCTTGCACCTGACATCCCTACAATGTCGGACTGCTCACCTCGATAACTCTGCTTTTAAGAAGCAACTCCAAATACTGGGATTTCCACAGCTTCCTTCCAAAGAGTACATGCTATATTTCCTAAACTATTGCAATCTAATAAATATTTCTTTCTCTCAGTCATCATGGAGAATTATTATTCAGTCCTCAAACCCATTAGATAACAGCAAATGCAACAGAGCTTTAAATGACATTGTGTTTTCCAGAGAAACATTCATTAATTCCATATTTAGTGTAGACTCACTAAGGCCAGGTTTGGTTCTCACCTTGGTTAGCAGTGGGGTTGTGACTTTACAGAAGCATGAAAGTAGTTGTTTATCTGGAGATGAGGTGGAGAGGTATTTCTGCCAAAAGACAGCAGATACAAACATGACATCTGGTCATCTGACACGGGCTTGAGAAGTCTTTCCCTGCACAGGTCAGTGGTACTGACCTTGCCTGAACCAAAGTGACAGCCCTAAATTCTGCCCTCGCCACACTGACATGGGGAGGTGAAGGTGCAAACTGTTTTACAAGTGCCAAATAAACATTATTTTGAACTAAGCTTCAAGGGGAAATCTCAAAAGGCAGAAAGCAGTTATCAAAACTAGGATGCAAAGAATTCCGCTGTTTTTCTATCTTCCCTCCCTACCAAATTATTCTTTTTTTGCTGAAAGATGTCTAGTATCAGCATTTTGAAGAAAAATAAACCCCACAAAATAGGAATCATCCTATACTTCATCTAAGCTGCCTTTCATGTTGATGGAAGTTCACTCTTCCTGAATCAAGGTGCTTTATGTAACTGCCGGCTTCCTACAGCAAACCTCTGTATGACCTGGTGGTCACTAACAGTAGATGTAAGTAGATCTATCACAGCTTTCATGAGTGAAATCACACCCCTCAGGAAACTGATGGCAAGGCTCCCAGAGATCTCAACAGGGTTAAAATTCCAATGCAAATGTACCTTTCATTTTTCAGCTTCAGATTATTTGATTGAAGATTCCTAAAGAGTATAATAAAAGCATCATCTTTAGGACAAGTCACGTTCTACAAGCTAATATTCAATACTCTTAGTGTTTAAAATGACACTGAATATTTGTCGTCTACTTATTAAGTAAAATATTCTAGTACATTAGATTAGTTTAATTTTGTTCAAACCGATGTCAAAAACTCATGGTTACTCAATACAATTCTTAAA